GTCACAGGGCCTGCCTCACCGGGCTGCTGTGAGAGTGGAAATGAGGATGCGTAAGGGCAAGAACATGGCACGTAAGGGCAAGCGGGCCAAGGGCACGTGAGAATCACCATGCTCGGTAGTAACCGTCTGATAACTGCTCCGGCAGGGCCTCACGTCCCTACGAGAAATTTCTCCGCCAGAAACGCTGATTGCGGAGTGAAAGGTCCCCCACTAATGGATCCGTGATTAAAGGAGTGAGACTGAGACAAAGCGAAGGTCAAGCAAAGCTTTATTTTGCACCAAGCATCGAGAATCAAACTGACTGGCCAGGGCCGTCTCTTGCAAAGAGGTGATGACCCTCTGCCTTCCAGACTAGCTTTTAAGGGCAAAGGCCATATGGTTGGGCCTGGCCACGCACAGGTGACCAATGAGATTGTAACACACAGAGAAAGCTGCACAGTCATGCTAGGTCACACATAAGTGACCAATTGAATTATAATTTACCCTATAGTAGACATTTGAACCAGCCTATCACCCTGGTCAGAATTGGCGCCCAAAAGGCGGGACCCACACTCCTTGGTAGCTAGGAAGACAGTATGTGCCCCCACTGGTTGGATGTCTCCACCTGGCCTGACCCACCCTTGTATTTGGGCTTTGTTACCTGGGACTGGATTCCCGGACTTGCTTTTAAGTAAGTTCCCTGGGGGGGCGGGGGGTGGTGCAGGGTCAGTTTAAGTTTTACTGCATAAACAACAAAATGACTGTTTAGTCCAAGATGGAATCGCTCTGGCTAAACAGGCCCTTACACGGAGCAGCATGCGTGGCTTCTGAGAGGGGCCCCCGAGACGGACGCCCACGGCCACCACATGCAAGTGGGCCGAAGGCATTCGGGCTGCCTGGAGGGGGTGTGACAGGTGGAGCCCAGTGGCAGCGCTGGTGTCCTCTCTCGGGCCTGGCTCGGAGAGTTTTCCACCTGAACTCTGGCTGGCCAGAGCCAAAACAAGCACGCGGAAATGCACACCCTCCACCAAGGACCTCACGGCCCCTCGGTATAAACACCGCCGTAGAGCCGTAGAGACAGTGAAGCAAACGACTCCGGCCTTTGCAAACCCTCCTCCCAGGGCCCGCTTCCCACAAGCACCGGGCCCAGAGGCCTGGAGGTGCTCGGAACTGGCCCGTGCGAATGGCTCCGCTTACACCAGGCCCCGACCGTCGCGGTGCTTTCCCAACAACAAAGAATTCCGCCAAGCTCCCCGCCAGACCACTATTATTTATTTTACCCCGGTTACCAGAAACAGAATCTCACCAACAAATAACCCGGTGTTAGGAGCGCCCCATCCACCGTCCCTGCTTGAGAAACATGAAGAAACTCCGTCTCTCTTTTGAGGGGATCTTTAAACACAAAAGCAGATGATGGAGGGTTTGGAGAAGGGAGGTGAGGTGGCTGGGATCTTGCCACAACCAGTAATAACCCTAGTCCTGTTCTCCTCCCCCCCAGATTAGTGAGCTAATGCGGATAGTGAGAACTTTTTAGAAAACTTCTCTCCTTAGACTTTCAGGGAGTGCAGAAAACAGGAGTTTTCCTGGTGTATTTATGGTAATAAAGCCATCTAATGCCTTCTGGGCCATCCCATCCCCTGAGGGCCCTGTGTTGACTTACAGGGGGAGACTCTGCTGGGCCGTCCCCATCCCCCCTCACCCCTGCAGAAGCAGGACCCGGGGTTACTCGGTTGTTCATCTGTGAGGGCTTCGCCCACAAGCTTGTTCGCCAAACACATTTGTTTTCTCCCTCTTGGGGTGTAAAGCGAATGTCGAAATCTCCCGTGGCTCCAGAACAAGGGGCACACTGTGCACACGCCCAGCTTCCAAACAGGCTGGGGCGGGCGGGAGCCTGGCGGGAAGGTGCCCCCACCCCTGCACACAGCGCAGCTGGGCAGGCTGCAGAGGACTCCGAATGGTTTTGATTTGCGGCAGGGAGGAAACTCGAAAGCCAGACACCAAGACAGACACGGATCCGGTTGTGGGGCTGACGGGCTGCGGGCTGAGCTGCCCCACCCCCACCCCCAACCCCCGCCCCCGCCTGCGTCTTTATTACCGAGCTGGGACTGGAGGCCCTAGAGCGAGGCTGATGGCAACAGCAGATGCTGCTGGCCCCGGGACCTGGGGCCAGGGAGGAGCCACATACCCAGGGCTGCCACCAAGGAGGTTGGAGGGAAGAGGGTGAGGGGGAAGGGCAGGCCCTGGAGGACCAGCATCTTCGAGACAAGAGAAGAGGACCCAGGGGCGCTTTGCTTGGAGGAGGGGAGCTGGGAAGCTGTGGCCGGATGCCTGGGGACTAGGCTGTGGCTTCGGACACTACTGGGTGTGTGTTGAGGGGGGGGGCAGTTTCTGAATCTGCCTCTTAAGAAGTGGGTCAGCTCCCTAATTCTTTGCAGCCTCCCTTCTCCCTGTTTGTAGGAAGAACTAAAAATGGACTGTGGGGTTGGTGTGGAAAACATAATTATTTCAGATACCCCATAGAGCCAGACACAGGTTTCAATACACAGAAACAGTCCCTGTTTCTCCCGGTGTGGCCCTAAGCACAGGATGTGATCTGAGCCTCAGTGTTCTTGTCTTTAAAATGGGAGTGGTAGTATTCTCTTCCTTATAGGATTCTTCAAAAGATTAAAGGAGATCCTTCATCATCTGGCACATTATAAATGCTCAGTAAATTCTAATTCCTTTCCTTTCTCCACCACACTCCTGTCCCTCCCATTCCTTCCACGGGTGGCAAAGGAGGCATTCCCCGACCTAGGCCGGAGAGGGCTGTTTCTCTGTACCATATGGTTGCAGTTCAGAAATTTTAAAATAAACACACAGGGATTAAGAAATACTAATAATGAAAAAGATGAGCAAAGGTAATGAAACACGAAGCTAAATTCGTGAGAAGAAAATATGGTAGATTCCAGAACTATAAATATTTAAGTTAGCCTGAAACACTGGACAGAACTGGGACCTGGGGCTTTCCAGCAAGGTCTCTCTCTCTCTCTCTCTCTCTCTCTCCCTGGCACACACACACACACACACACACACACACTCACATAACACTTTATACCCCTGGATGGACGAGAACTCTGAGACCCCCTACCCACCCAAACTTCTGAAGTGAAGTATGAGAGAGCAAGTGCCTCAGAGTGGAAAAGTGGGGCGCAGCCATGACGTTCTAGGAAGTGAAGAAGTGAAGCTCACATGGGAGGAGGGGAGACCTGCCCAGAGGTCCGCAGGCTTGGAGAACAGATGGACTGGAGTGTGGCAGTCCTTAAGGGAGGTACAGCCCTGCTCAGCACCTTTCTGAGCTAAAGCCTCCAGGAAAACTCTGCATCTTCTTTAATTCCAGAACATGAGCAGAAGACCATTGTCGAGTACATAAAATTTAACCTCTTATTCACTGGACATCATTTATACAACCACACAGAAAGAATAAAACTAAAAACAAACAGGGGCGCCTGGGTGGCTCAGTCAGTGAAGCTTCTGCCTTTGGCTCTGGTCATGATCTCAGGGTCCAGGGATTGAGTCCTACATTGGGCTCTCTGCTAGGCTGGGAGCCTGCTTCTCCCTCTGCCTCCTGCTCCCCCTGCTTGTGCTCTCTCTCTCTTTCTAACAAATAAATAAAGAAAAACTAGGGCACCTGGGTGGCTCAGTGAGTTGAGCCTCTGCCTTCGGCTCAGGTCATGATCTCAGGGTCCTGGGATCGAGCCCCGCATGGGGCTCTCTACTCGGCAGGGAGCCTGCTTCCCGGCTCTCTCTCTCTCTGCCTGCCTCTCTGCTTACTTGTAATCTCTGTCAAATAAGTAAATAAAATCTTTTTTTAAAAAAAAAAACTAAAAACAAGCAAGAAGTAGTTGGAGAAACTTGTTAGTGCCTTTGAACTGAGACATTTCTTGAATTTCATGTGGATACCATTTCGCTCCCTGCCCCCCCCCACGCACACTCACACTCACACACACACACCCTTCTCAGAGGTTAGCTTAGGCATAAGCGTAGAAAACTGCCATCCACATAAGGAAGGTTTGGGACATCACCAGAAGCCCTGTCAAGAACAGGCAGCCTATGTCCCCTGTGGGAAAAGAGTTGGAAGTCCAGCACCAGCCCACAGCGGCCCCCACTAGCCAGACATTCGGACTGCTGCCCTTGGTCCCGTATCCCCGCATATGCAGTAAGCGATACCCTGTGTAGGAAACATCGAGAAATAACACTGCAGTCAGAAGACCTTGATTCCTGTCCTTAGTGTGAACTTGAAAACCTCACTCTGAACTCAGAGCCTGTTCTCCTCCCCCGTAAGTGGCAGGATATCCTCCCTCCTGTCCTCCCAGGGTTATCCCGAGGCCTAAAGGAGATCCAAGTGCACAAAAGCCCTCCTCCAAGGTGTCATTCTTTGCTCGTGATGATGGGGACTCACGTGGGCCGCGTGGAAGGATGCGGGAGGCCCGACCACTTTGAACACACCTTGCTACATGGGAGCGGCTCCTGAATGGCCTCCCATCAACAGCTCCCAGTGAGAATAGAGCCCACCTTTGGAAGGCCGCCTACCCCAAGAGGTGAGTCAATAAACCACATGGATAGACAGAAGCAGCCATCTTGGACAGAAGCATTATCTTCAAGGCTCAGCTGAGAGAGGTCTTCACAGCAGAAGACAGAGAGCCAGACATCTGTCTTGGCTTTACCTGGAGGATCCTGAAGGGAATGGACAGGAGAGGCACTACTCTTGAATATAAAGCAGCAAAATAGGATTCACAGCGCTCACAGGCGGGAGCCAGAGGGGGGCTTTGACAAGTGAGTTACCTCATTGGTAAGCCTGTCTCCTCACCTGTGAAAGGCGGACGAGAGAACGCACCTCTTCGGTCTGCTCTGGGACTTACGAGGGAGCCCGAGGAAGGCACAGCGCCTGAAGCCCAGCGACCAAGAAGTGCCGGACGCCGAGCAACACTTTGTGTGAAGGACAGAATGCGAACACTTCATTGAAGACCAGGTCAGGCCTCTGCTCTTTTAAAATGAGGTTTATTGTACATAAAATAAATTAATTACAGTTTAAGCCAAATCACGAGTGGCTTTTTAAAGTGCATTGTCGGGGATTTGGTGGTGGCCCCTCTATCTGTTCACTCGCTGTAGGACCGTGTTTTCGTATTTAAGCCACGACTCGGCCAGGCCTAGGAAACGACCCAATGTCATCGCTGTGAGCCTTTTACACAAATCACACCAAAGTCAATGAACACGGCTTTTTCTTTTTTTCTTGTACCTGATGCAAGAGTTAAAGAAAAATGATACTCTCTCACAATTACCCAAAGGCTGGGGCTCAAGGGTTTGAGACGTCAACCATTTAACACGTGCTGGACTAAACATAACCATCCGGGTCAGGAAGGATGCCGCACCTTCCTGTGGGCACTAGAAGCTTACAGATGTCCGTCTGTCTACATCACATCTGGCCCATAAACCCCACCCTTTTGGGGGGTAAGGGGGCGAGAGAAATTTCCTCCTTGTTCCTTAAAGAAAGCTAGGTATCCTTCAGGTGAGAAAGGCATTCTGTCATGACCGGTGTTCCGGAGATGCAAATCAGATGTGTAAGAGAAAAAGCAGTTCTTCTTCTTGGGGCGTGGGGTGGGGGAGAAAAGGGAAAAGAAAGAAAGAGAAGAAGGGGGACAGCCTTTGAGTGCTGAATCTGTTCTTTCATTCCCGCCGGCCAACACACCCAGTCCACCGCTGAAACTACCACTGACTGTCATTTACAAGGTCAGAAACAAACTCCAAAGTGATTCTGCCGCCCTCCCCATCTCGGAAGGAAAAGACACCCAGTCCGGGTCACGGTCTAAAGCGGCTCAGCGGGCTCGCTCTCAAGCCTCCGCGGTTCCGTCCCCTGCTCAGAACGCGGCTTTTCTGAAGCAGTTCCACGGGCCCTCCTGGCCCCTCGGCTCCGGCCCTTTCTGGAACCACGAACTCCTGCCAGCATTCAACGTTCCTGCCCCGGAAGAACCTCGGACCCCCTTCCAGGGAAGACCAAACCCCCGCGGACGGCCCCACTTCAGACGGAGGTGACTGTCCTCACTTTGGCCGAGAGGGCTTGCTTGAACCTCCTCTTCAGGTCCTGCATGTTGGGGGACTTGGGCCGGGGGATGAGGGAGGTGCGTCGCTTCTCTGGTGTGCTGCTGGGCTGCTGTTTGTGACTCACTTCCTTGCACAGCACGTGGAAGGCGTTGTAGACGTCGTTGTAGTTCTCGCTGACGGACACCTCGTAGAAGGAGCAGCCCAGCACGCCTGCCAGCTGCAGTCCCAGCTGGGGGTCCACCTGCTTGACATGCAGCAGGTCCGCTTTGTTGGCCACGACCACCACTGGCAGCCGGCTGCCCAGGTGCAGCTGCTGGACGTGCTGGTGGAGCTGGCCGATGAGTTCGTAGCTCTTGTAGTCGGTGACCGAGAACACGATCACCACGGCATCGGCCCAGCGAATGCATCTGTTCAGCTGTTCGCCGCAGCTCAGGCCGTTCTCGTGGACCTGCAAGACATGGCGGGGGGGTGAGGTGCACGCCGGGGTGGGGGCACGTGGAGAGCCCCTGGCTCTGCCACAACACCAGGTCCAAGGGGCCCTTGGCAGTAATGCCGGGTCGCAGGCCGTAAACCAGCTAGCTCCCCACATGCTTCGGTTTTCTGGACAGCGTGTTGATCCAGCTGCACGGAGTTGGAATAAATAATAGTGCAGCTCCCCACACTCCACTGGAAAATTGACCTGCAGAGAACTCCACGCGGAGAGACTTTGTAGTTGCACAAAATGGGAAATTAACTGGCTAGACAGTACGTCTGGGGAAGTGAAGATAGGAGCTGGAAGCATTTAAACCTGGATAACCGCCCAGTTCAAGAGCGAAAAAAAAACACACACATACACCAGCAGGGCTCTTTTGTCTACAGAGGAACTTTCCACAATACTAAAGTGATCCCACGGACTTCAAGACTCTACCTAAATGGCTGGTTTTTCAGGGCCAAATACACGAAGGTAAAAACTGATCGTTTTAACCAAGGCAAGGCAACCGTGCCAATTCCGTGTGCGCGTGGTTTGGTCTCTCCTGCAGGAGAGAATCCTCCTAAGATTTCTGCCCTCAGCCACATCCCGCAAATGAAGCCCGGCAAAGACTGACCAATAGCCAAAGACAACCCAAGTGACAAGCAATGTGTACAAGCCTAGTTTTACCTCTCTCACATTTCCCTCCTCTTCAGCAAAACGCCTTATTCTGAGAACAACTGAACAATTCCATAGCCAAGTAGGGTCCCTTGGACTTAGTCATGATTCTCAGGGCTTCTTACCTGAACACCTGGAGTGTCTTGAACTTGAATAGCCAGGGTTTCACCTTCTATTTGCACTTGTCTGGTATAGAGGTTACCTATAAAGGGCGGGGGGGGGGGGATATGGAATATATATATATATATATATACACTCACACACTCACACACAGTTTTTCCTCCTTGTACAACTTTGAAAACATAGTGGGATTTTTTTTTTTTAAGTAGGAAAAAATATATAACCTGAACCAATGCACACAAATAAGCTATAGTTTATTCTACTTAATGAGCGTATTTCAGCTGCTTTTTTTTTTTTTTTTTTTTTTAAACAACTGCAATTCGAACCCCAGATTAGGGCATTTATTCAAACCAAGGCACGGTTTGCAAGTTTCTGGAAACTGACTTAGCTCATTTTAAATGGCTCTCCCATATTTAGAGTATTTCCTTGAAGTAAATTTTCTTGTTCAGCATGCATGGCCGTTTGTTTTAATTTAGTTACTTCATTACTCTTTGACATCCGCTTAGTCATTAGGTATTAACAACTTGGTAGGCAAATATTGCTAGTAAGTGCACAGCCAATGTCATCAGTTGGAGTAAAAATGTGACACCATGTTAGCCAGATCTACATCAAAGCAAAAGACTGTCATATCTTATCTCGGGATGGTTTATAGAGCACATTTCAAATAATCCCCTTAGGTACTAAATATGGCCTAAGGATTTAAGCAATTTGCTAACAGAGCATAGGTAGAAAGCCCTGAAGCCTCCCCGGTGGCCATCTTTAATCACAGAGATTGAAATAGTGTCTTCTCGTTTATTTGGGAGCTGCCCTCCTCAAATTCTACCATCTAGTTATTTTTGTCTTTGTTAAGAAAAGAGAACTTTAGGTTTACAACAGCTCTCCTTTGGCCTCTGCTTTAAAAGGTCACCTCTGAAAGGCGGCCAACAGAGAGGAAGACGGGTGGGGGGAGGAACTGAACATTTTTTTTTTTTTTTTATGACTTTTGCAGGAGTGTTTTGAAGGGAGAGGCTCTTGAGTACAAAGGGTGCTTCCAACTGGGGTCCCTATAGTTAAAACATACCAAGGAGAATACTTTCAGGCACTCGATAAAATGATGAATGGGCTAGGAATGGAATGAGGCCAGATGGCAGTTATGGGAACGGGGGAGCAGGGGAGGGGCAGGCAAAGTTGGAAGTGGCAGGATCCTGATGCTCAGACTGTCCTGTGAGGGAGGCTCTCTGGGAGACCTCGGAAAATGGTTAAGGGCAGTACTGTGCTAGCTGAGCACACTCGTCCCAAACGCGCCTCCTCACCTGCATTTCTTTCATAGTCACCAATGAACCGTTTGGTGAGGAACCGGACCACCAGAGCTGTAGGGCAGAAAAGAGAAAGGAGAGAGAGTTAACTCTGGCATAAGAAGTGAAATCGGTGTCCACCCCACCCCCAGCCTGGGAAACCACTCCGGCAGAGAAAGCAAGCCGGGCAGCCACCAAGTGAAATTCCTACCCTGCAGCTCCTTGACCCTTCTTCCAGACACAACGGAGAGGGGCTAGAAGGCGTCCAAGGCCTCGTGAATTATGGCTCTGTCCAGATGGAAGGGTCATTTGGCTCACCCCCCTCCTCTGAGCCCGGCTGAGCCACACCTAAGGCTTCCAGGAGACAAAGGTCTTTCCGAACCTTAAAGACCTCCAGGAGGGGGTCCGTTCCCTAAGTCCCCCTTCTGTTCCAGGCACCGCCAGACAGACTCAAGAACCCCAAAGTTCTAATCCCAGTTGCGCCGGCGGTGCCCAGGAGGAGGCCTGGTCCTCCTGGGGTCCCCGTTTTCCTCATCTGTTGAAGAAGGGGCTTGGAGGCGATGCTGGCTCAGGTCCTCGCCGAGGGGCAGCAGATCAGTAGGAGGGGATGGGAGGCCAGCTGCCCTTCCACCTCTCCCCCACGCCTCGCTCACACGCAGCCCCCAGCGAGGCCGTCCACGTCCAGCCCCCAGGGATGAAGGCGTTCTGGCCCGAGCGCTAGGACTCACCGGTCTTGCCCACGCCGCTGGCCCCCACCACGGCGATCTTGACCAGGCGGCGGCCGGCCGCCCCCAGGCAGCAGTCGGCGGCAGCGGCGGCGCTGCCCGGGGCGGGGTACTCGGCGATGGTGCACATGTTCTGAATGAGGCGCATCGCCGCTCCGGCCGGGGCTGCACTACGCGGGACGCTACCTGCGGGGCGGGACCACTGTTGCGCTGCGCGGGAGCGGTTGGGAGAACCCGGCCGGAGGGGTCCGCGGTAAAAAAGGCTCGGGAGCGCGGCTGCGCGGCAACCTGGACTAACACGGGATTGGGCTCTGGCTCGGGACTGGGGCTGCAGTCGGGCTGCGCGCGCGCTGTTTTCTCCGGGGCTGGCCCCGCCCCCTTTCCCCCGCGACCAATCCCGAGGCGCCCTGCGAGACGCTCCGCCCCCGGCGCCGCTAGGCGCGCGCCGCGCCGGTGGGGGCACCCGGAGGCTGTGCTGGGCCCCGTGAGGCGCGGGGAAAGTGGGGCTGCCCGCGGGAGAGGGGCAGCGTGTGGGCGCGAGCCGAAAGCGCAGCCAATGGCAGGTGCGGGTGCCGCCCGCTGAGCGGGCACGCGGCCTAGGCTGTGGCCGTGCGGTTGGGGGCGCCTCGGGTTCCCGGAAGCGGGGCTCGGCCTTAGGGCGGGCGTGGGACGGGCGGCGGCGGCCGGGGCCTGGAGGGTGTGTGGCCTCGGGGTCGCGAGCGCGCGACCTGCTGCCCGGCTTACGCCCATCTCCTTCGTTTGGGACGTGACTGCAGTGACCTGAGTGCCCCCGATCATAGATTTGGCTATGAAGGCAATCAGTTACACAGACCCCATATCCACTCCCCTGAGCTGTGACAATTAACTTTGGGGCAAAATAGTGTCACCCGTGTTCTAGACGCACGTTCTCTGCCTCCGGCGCGCAGGGCAGCAGATCAGTCAACCTCCGACTAGCTCGCATGAACACACAGAAGGTCGGGTGGGTGTACTGCGCGCTCAGAGGCAAATCACTAGGTAATTATAGAACAAGCTTTCTAGCGCCTCACACACAGTCACACCTCCTCTGTGAGCTGTGAAATGGAAAGAAAACAGTTACCCCAGCTGTTTCTGGATGCCGACTGGCCTGGGAGTCAGAAACCGGAAAGGGTCCGCAGCACTCAGCTTCTGGTTCCAAGAAATGGCAAGACTTAGTGAAGTGACTTGATGCTGTGGGCTCGCACTCACAAGATCCCCAAATCCTGCCCTTTAGGGTCTCCTTAGGGAAAGGCTTCTGCGGCAAACCCCATCCAAGCAACGTTCTGTAGCTGGAACTGACTGCAGGGTGCGTCAGGGGACGCGGGCTAACCAACTCCCCACACCCCCATCCCAACTCCCCACACCCCCATTCCAACCCCCCACACCCCCATCCCAACCCCACCCTTCTAATTTGGGGCCCCCACGTGTTCCGGAGGCTTTTATCCTGGGGGGGGGGAATGGCAATCAATACTGTGGCTTTGCATCCACACCCACATTAAAGGCTGAAATATAAAATGGTGAAATAAACCGATTCCCTTATCCATGCCTGTCAGGCATCTAGTTTGACTCCCCCTGAGGCTGCGAACTTAACTTGACCAAGTAACTGACAGAATTTATGAGGCTGACCCAGCTCAGACTCTGAGATGAACCCTCTTGCCTATCAATTTAGGTGTCTGTAGAAACTCAAAGGGGAGATAGTAGGGTTATCTCAAACTTTGTTTGAGACTTGGTAGCAAGCAGCATAATTAGCAAGGCACACAAACAACCTTGGCAATAAACATAATAAAAGGTTGGCTTCTAGGAAGATCACAAATATGAAATAAATTTAGCCACCTGAGTCAGAAGGGAAAAAAGAGCATTTCCAATAGGCACCATGTCTTTCTATGTGGGTACAATCAAACCAGAATTTTGTTCTTCTATAAAATCAAACTTAGCAAGACTATAATTACAGGTAATCATGTTCTTTTAACCCTTCCCCCCCCAAAAAGCCTGTAATTCCATGATGCTTACATAGTAAAATAGTTTTGTAGTCTAAAGTTTTTAACTGCTTTGTACACACACACACACACACACACACACACACACACACACTCATACACAGACATGACAACAGTTGTCAGGGCAATTTTGCTTGGAATCATTTTTGCTTCTGGAGCTTGATTTTCATGACCATGAGCCCGTACCAAGCCTATGATTTTTCTGTCTGAAAAATCGCACACACAGGCTGAATTTGGCATTCCTATTTTAGGTCTAAATTATCTGGCTGTGCTTTAAAAAACACAGAAAAGAAAGACACAGAGAAAGTTGGAAAAAGAAAAGGGAGCTCTTCAAATTCAAAACACCTAGCAAATGGCCCACCTCCACCCACCTGCTTCCAGTGATCACACTGAGAGTTACCCCTTCTTGGAAATGCATAGAATTAAAAAGAAGAAGAAGGAGGAGGGGGGAGGAAGAGGAGGGGGAGGGGAGGAAGAAAGGGAGGAAGAAGGGGAGGAGCAGGAGTAAGGGGAGGAGGGGGGAGGAGGGGGAGGAGGGGAGGAGGAGGTTGTTCTTAGTGAACCACCACAGACCTTGGAGGCTCACAGTTCTGTGGGTTGACTGTGCTCTGCTGTGCGGTTCTCGCCTGGGGCTTCTCATGTTGGCTGGTGGCTTTGGAGGGAGTCATCTGAAGGCTCGTGTGGGCTGGACATCCAAGATGGCTTCTTCTTCGTCCACACGTCTGCCTTTCAGCTGGAATGGCTGGGACAGCTGCGACTAGCCAGTCTCTCTCAGTATCTGACTCCTCTCTGTGGTTAGGTCAGGCTCCCCCACAGCATGGCAGGCAGTTTCCCCTAGAGAGGATATTCTAGGACAGGAAGCAGAACCTCTGCTAACCTCTTAAGGCCTGTGTATGGAAATGCGCACAGCATCCCTTCTGCTATATTCTGTTGGTCAAGCAATCACAGACCCACCGAGATTAACAGTCAAGGCTCAGGGCCACAGATCCCACCCTGTGATGGCAATAGCGTGAAAGGATCTGTGGTCATCTCTAAGGCCCCACACTTCCATCTTGTAAATAAGAAAACAAAGGCTTAGCTTAAAAATTCCTCCCAGGTCACAGATCCTATAAGGGATGGGGCCTAAGTCTGAGAAGGATGAAGAACATAGAAAACAGCCAGGAGGTTCCCAATGAGATGGTCTCCTGTGAACCGTTCTCTCTCCCTCTTTTGTTTTGTTGTTGTTGTTGTTGGTGGTGGTGGTGGTGGGTTTTTTTGTTTTGGGTTTTTTTGTTTGTTTTTGTGGGTTTTTTGTTTTTGTTGTTGAGCTAAAAGAGATGAGGATGGGGATGGGGAACATGAGAAACTTGGAGAGGCAAAAAAAGTATTTTGCCAAGTCCCGATTTTGCCTCAGCCTCTGGCATTTCTGTCACTTCCTTTGATCTTTAGAGCTCATCTTTGACCTGAGAACTTCCGGAGACAATCCAGTTTCTGGAAGCCTTTAGGGTAACAGAAAAGAAATTTAGTGTTGAATGTCTGGGCCCGGGATATCACAGGCACTCTTCTAGGTCCTGGGTCTACACTGGCAAACAGGACAGACACAGTCTTCACCATTACATGTAGCATGGGAGACAGAAATGAATGAGCAATTTCAATACAGTGTGAGAAAACGCTCTGATAGGGAAGCTCCAGGAGCCAGAGGATTACTTGATAGGTGGAAAAACCTGGATTGTGGGAGTCAAAAAAGAATGTGAAAACATTCAAGTGATTGAAAAGGTTGTGTATCGCTTACAGGCATGCGTGTTTGTAGAAAGGCAGAAATGACTCCCAGAGCTATAGAACTGGCCCATCCAGGGAGCTGTTCCCTCTTCCACTGTACCATCCCTCAAAACCCACAAAGTTAGAGACAGACGTGGGGGAAAAGTCCAGTATCTCCACAGTGGGCCCTACAGCAAAAAGCAACCAGGCCATAGAAAGATGGAGTCATCCCTGCTTCTGCTTTGCAAATCTTATCTGAGAGCATCGAGTTAATGCGATTAATCTGTATCTGTTACCCTAGCTGCAAGGGATTCTGGGAAACGTGTTTCACTTTCTAGTCTCCACAGAAAGGACAGAAATGAAGCTGTGAGCCCAAAAGTTCCTCTCTACTTCTCCAGTACCCGAAGAACATGTAAGCCCAGAAAAGGAGAGATCAGACCCCACCAGACATTTAATTTTCAACTATAGAAGAATATAATGAAGTTTTCAGTTGACTGCTTTAAAACCACTGTTTAAGACCACTATTTTCCTGGCTTCTGTGAAATGTGTGGACACCCAGCTCTGCTTTTTAGAACTGTTTTCCTCTCGTCTGCTATAGGAACTGTCTATTAATTTCACTTGCATAGATCCATTTCCACACTTTAATAAGAACCCCAATAGTCCCTTCGATACATCCCCTCCCCCACTCTCATGTTGCTCAGGTAATGGTAGTGGGGAGATACCGGTCCCTAATTGCAGGAGTGGATACCAGTAAGCCCCTGGGATTCACTCAGTGCTGGGCCAGGGAAATTCTTCCTTGAGAGTTTTGTTGGCAAAAAGATGCCTCATTTGCCCTATTGTTAATAGAGTAAGCGTGGAGCTCAGGGAGCCATGGTGTGGCAGCCCCGTGGGGGTGTCTGCTTCAGAATGACGCCAACCCAGAAGAAAGCCGAGGTGCGAGGCAGAGAGGACCAGGCCCACGATGGCATCTTTTCCAGCCCTGCACGAAGCCATGCCTGAAAATCCAAACTTACGCCCTTGAAATTCCCAGTCACGAGAGTCAACATGGTCATTTTTGCGATTAAGCTGGTTTGAGTGGGATCTCTGTCACTTGTACTGAACAAACCCGCACACATCCTGTTTGTGTGGAGTCCTGGGCTCGCCCCGGCCGCGATGAAAGTGACCAGCTAGAGTCAGCATCATCTCTCATTCAGAACTCTGAGGCTCAGCCATTCCTCCCGCACAGAAGGCCGTGGCTGTCCAGCTGTCCCTCCCTTTTCATTCCACCTGTGCGGCTGCCCTGTCAGCGCCATCCTGCAATCAATGGAAACACACACACGACTGAAAAGGACGGGAGTCCATCCAGACAGTGGAACAGGCAGCGCTAAAAAGAAAGGAGCTATCATGACATGAAAAGACATGGAAGACCTTACACGCGTATTAGTAAGTGGAACAG